CCCCCCCTCTCTCTCTCTCTCTCTCTCTCTTTCCCGCTCACCCCCCTCCTCCTTCTCCCTCCTGCTATACGAAATTGCGGCCAAAGCGGCAAACGCCATTAAAGGGCGAATTTAATCGTCCGGCGGACAATAAAGTCACACGGCATAACATATATAGGTAGTTGAACATAAATGCAACGCGAGACACGGTCGAGCTGTACTGTGTGCAGCCAGCCGTTGCCAGCAGCAGACCACTGCGGGCGCTTGTCTCCAGAAAAGGCCACCGAAAGATCGAGCCTTAGATGGCATTTAAAGTTTAAGGGCATCTTAAGATAATTTTTAAAATACTGATCATTTTCAGAATTTTCTTCAAGCCCATCATAAACGGTTTGGCAGACGGAATTCTTAAAATTTTGTGGACTATAGCACCAAAATCCTTTGAATGAGTTCACTCTGCAAACCCAAGTGTGATCCAGTCTTCAAGTTGTAAGTGCATTACTGGACATCTTCACACTTGCAACTGCAATAGCAAATGCGTACAGGACACCACATGTCTCACATTTACAAGTGCGAGATTACATGTCATTTATCACACACTAACTACTGTGAGCAGACTGTAGACACGTTTGTAAGTGTGCCACGCGTTGTCCTACACACGAAAGTGTGACGCACATACGCGGTTAGCTGTTGCGCAAGTCTGACACTGACACACCTGTTATTGCTTACAACTGTTACTGTCTTACACTTGAGTTTTCAGAGCAGCCCTCTCTTCCTCTTTGAGAACATGTGTATTTTTTTCATTAATCCAAGTGAACCCCGTGAACAGGAAACATTGCGTGCGAGTGAGGATGGGGCGTGTGAACGGAGTTGATCGCCTGTTTCTCTGGTTCCTCTGCGCACTTGAGCAGCAGGTCCCTCAAAGTTTAAACGAGCGCGTCGACTTTTCAGCACATGCGCGTCTCTCGCGGCGGCTGGCGGCGCGGCGCGCACTTCCTCGCGCACTGCCGGCCGAGTGCACAGCCAGTCGGACTGGTGCCGGGCTGTGTGCGCTGTGTGCCCCCCTCCACACATGCAGCAGTCCAGTTCCAATCAGCGGCACTTAAAATTTATTTTAGTCCAAGCAGCTGCAAGCCGCGCCGCACCATAACGCCACGCTTGGTTGAGGCG